AAAAAAAAAAAAGAAAAAGAAAACTGAAAATCATCTTTGTATGCATGTTCACAGGTAAACATGCTGGTGGTGTGCCTGCAGGGGTGAGGTCATGAGCCTGAAACTCATCAATTGGTCTAGACTGGCCTCCCAGGGCCTGCATTAAAGGCACGGGTCACTCCATCAGGCTTGTTACTTGGGTTCTGGGGATGACAAACTCAGATTTCATTCTCTCACAGCGAGTTCTTTACCCACTCTGCTACCTCTTCTACCTGCAACTCAAAATCTTTAGTGTGTGGTCTCTACTGGATTCCAAAGTCCTCACTCATTTTGTAAGTATTCTTTACTCTTCCTGTGCCTGAATGAAGTTCTTTAAGATTTCAAAACATCAAAGTTTAAGAAGTTAATTGTCACCTAGTTACATGATCTATCTAACATCATTCAGTCATGTCTCTACATGTACTATTTCAAGATCTTAAGTTTTAAATTAAAAAGAAACTAAGGCAAACTGAAGCCATAACATTTTCTCACAGCCACCTGCTACCTTGGCCAAATCAGGAGCATTTTAAAGCCAGCATGGGATACCAGAGTAAGTATAAAGTTAGGTAAAACTGGACACTTATGGGAACACTAGAAAGGAGGACCCAGGGGCTACAAAAACATAAGATAATCAGCTGAACTCTTTTGCTGTATTTTTCAATTAAATCAGAACTCCAACAAGTCTATAGTGCAGGAAGTATAACATAAAGAAATGACTCCCTGTCTGTACTTTGCTAGCAGTTTCTGGCTTCAGCAGGCCCAACTAGAATGTTTCTGTAACTTCTTGGCTATGGTATACCATTTGCTTTATGCTGTATTTCTTTCATGGTATCTAGCTTGTCTTATTATCCATAATTTACTCTCGACTGCTGGATTTACTGTTTCTGCCTTCCAGTGTCCTTATAGAAACTGTGTCAGAGAAAAGATGTCTGCGCTGGCATCTTCTTTTGTTTTTACTTTTACTCCTTCCCACCCCACCCCCGGCACCATAGCTGGTGTTAGGCTATGAATTCCATCTTTATATTCACATGTAAGCTATGTTTCTGATGCAGTTATTTAGCAAATATATCTTCATTCATTTCCTCATTGTGTGTACAAATTCACCCTCTTGTCTTCTAAATCCCTTTCCAAATGGGCCTTGCCAGTTACCTCTGCCTTCTAGGTGCAAGTTTCTCTTTCAACATTGTGGATCTAATCAGAGCTCCATGAAGCTTTAGTAAATTACAAGTCAATGGGTTACATAGAGTCACTAAAACCACATCAATTATTGTAATAATAAATTTCAGCATTGTGGTGAAGTGGGAGGGCTTTTCCCAAAGAGCAAAACTTCTTTGCCTCATGTTTTAAAAATCAAGTAATATAAAAGGATAACTGTATCTTCAGTGACAGCTGTGTTAAAACAGATACATTAAACACCTGAGACACATGTGTCCCTGACATTAAAAGATACCTCTTTGCACAGCATTTCTCAGGTAACACAGGCTTTTATCACAGATGATTTTCTATGATGGGTCTCTAGATTCTACAAGTGGCTTTAGAAAGGTTTGTGATTTTGCATCAACAGTTACAGTAACTAGAGAAGAATTATTACTTCCTTAACTTTGTGGTTCTGTCTGCCGACAGAAAAATAGCTAAAAATATCAAAGCCAGATGGCTCTAAAGGAAATGCCTCTGATGCTTTGGCTGTTGTTAAGACACCCCAGGAGGGACTCTTTTATGGCTGGTCACTGTGCCTGCCTCACTAGCCCATCTGCTCACTAAATCTTGTGTAAGAGCACTCACAGACGGTGTTATCTTTAACTGAGTAGCAAAGTGCCTCATTCTGCTCTGTGATATCTAACTTTAAAATTAACAAATTTGAGGGGGAATAGTAGGTTCAAATAAACAGACAACGTAATGCCTTGAATATATCCATAGGCTCATAAGCCTTCAATTACAATAGAAGGGAGAGATCTGAAAGTAATCGAGGCATGATTTTTAACTCAGCAGAACTTTCTCTGATTGCTTCACAGGTGACTGGTAGAAGAGCAAGGCATGGAAGGGCTGTGAAAATCCATTTCCTTCTCCAGGGACTGGCAGGAAATGATATTTTATAACTCTACTCAACCACTTGCATGGGAGTGATAAGGCACAAGAGCGGCTGTTTATATATGACCCACCATTACTCCATTTCAGTGAAGTTGATAGACAGCATTGTTAAGAAATGACTACATCTGTAAAATGCCGGAGCATGTTGATAGACCTGTCTTCTGATGTGCGGAAGCCCTGATTTATAGGATTAGTAGAGTTTCATGCTGTAACTTATAACCTATTTAAAGTTATCAAGGTTTCAAGCATGAGTTTGGAAAATCCCTAAATATTTAAAATTTAGATCCCTGAGCCTTAATTTAGTGAACTCCAGGTCACACCTGCACATTTTCATATAACTGTTCTATGGTCATGATTTTTAACAGAACTCTTGAGAAGACATGTTTTTGTTGTTATTTTATTTTATTTTCTCTATTATGGGAAAGATCTAACATATACAAATGCTCAGCATTCTTTAAAATTAGTCCAACAAAAACACCCAGGACAAGGATTCACTTCAAGTCTTTACTGCTTCTCAAAAGTAAGTATTAACATTACTGCATTAGATCACATAGGAATTTTCAAAGTTAAGATAGCTTAAAGCTTTAGGCAATATTGTAGCTTATAAGGCCTATAAGGGAAAATTATCTGATTACACCTCATGTGAAGTACGAAGATTACAGTGGGAACTAGTTCATGTCAATTTATTCTTAATTTATTGGTTGATCCAGTTGGTGGTGTTTTGTGTGTAATGGAATTTAAGCATGAACAACTAGAGAGCTAGGCACAGTTAGAGACCTTGGCACCTGAATGACAATAGAAATGTCAAAGCTGATAAGAGGAAACTGTGATACACCTAAGGGTTTTGAACGGAGAACAGGGAATACTACAAAGATCATGGACACTATATTTTCTGTTTTGTGAATGCGGTAAAAATTTTGTTTCATATTCCTAATAAACCATACAATAAATTGAAGACAGATTTTTAAAGAATGCTCTCATGTACGTACCTGTTACTTAAAGGGAAGTTGTATGCCTCATTTGCTTGGATTAGCTTCAAGAATTTAACACCAAGTCAAGATAAAGACAGAAAGAAACATTGGCCTAAGTCAGCTTAGATTGTTTCAAAGAGTTTGAGATTTAAAAAAATATTTTATATGTATTAGTGTTAAAAAAAGTTTTATATGTACTAGTGTTTACCATGCATGCATGTCTGTGCACCATGAACATCTAGTGCACGAGGAATCCAGAAAAGAACATCAGATCCCCTAGAATTTGAGTTATAGACAATTGTTAGCTTCTATGTGGGTGCTAGGAATTTAATCTGGGTCCTCTGGAAGAGCAGCCAGTGCTCTTAACTGCTGAGCCATCTCTTAGCCCCAGCTTAAAACATTTTTGAAGTGAATTTCTATAAATGAATATTGAAATTGTTATACTTTTGTAAACTTGTGATGTATACATGTATACACTTTTTTTCTTTCATTAAATATGTGGTTGAACTAATGAAACTGGCCTGTGAATCTGGTTTGCCTGGGTTAAAATTCTAGTTCTTTGGCATTTTCCACTAAAACAAACAAAAAACTAAATATTCTCTGGTATCTATACCATCTAAACACATTAAATTTTGTCTGACCTAGGAAGCTAAGCAGTTTCCATCCAGGGTAGGGAGATCATAGAAAATGATTTGTGCTTTAGCTGCTTTATGCTTAAAGAGGTGTTATGATAATATTTATATGTCTGCATATGATTATTATGAAAATTGAATTATTTGCATACTCTACTGGGAAGAATAGGACGGCCAACATCCCTACAGTTAGCTTTTCATGATTTTACTATATTTGGAATATATTCATATTTTCTTTGTTTGATTGAAGAGATCTTTCAGTGCTTTAAGAACATGGAACAGAATAAGGGGAATTTCTGTTACTTTTCAGTAGGCTGTATTCTTGCCTTGGACAGTATCTTGGCGGCTATATCTCACCCAGGATCTGGGAGTCTAATTCATCAGTAGTAAACTCAACCAAAATCTATAATTCCAATGACTCTTAAGAAGTCTTTCAATTTTCCATGTTTGGAGTTTTGGTTTTTGCCCTTTCAAATTACTGAGCCAATTCCTTAGTGAAATGCCACTCACTTTGTTATTGGTATTGTGTGCAGAATGATTCAAGAAAATAAAACTAATAAAATGAACTTTGCAAAATAAAAATTACTAGAGAAAAGAAGAATGCCAAAGGTCTGTTTTTAACAAGAACAGTGGAAACGGGTATGTGGGGCTCTGTTGCAGGCAACAGCAAACAGAACTTCTTTGTGGTTTCACAGGAAAAGGTGGCAGCCCGACCTCAGCATGGTAGCAATCATGTAAAAGAATAATGCATTCTCAGCTTCAGGGTGATAGTGCTTATATTTTTAGGTACAGTGTGATTTTTAACTATGTTGGGCTGATAATTAAAATTAAGGTAGGTGCATGAATAATTCATGATGAGTGCAAATGGCTTACATACAAAAATGACACAAGTCAGGCATTTAGGAATTTAAAAAATGTTCTATACTGTCAAATATTTGTTACATACAAAGAAAAGTGTCAAAGAGCACATTTTTGAAAGAAAATGAATGTCTTTTTTTTTTTTTTTTTTTGAAGCATTTCGATGTGCCTGGCCTTCATTGATTCATCTCTTCCCTGGGCCTTCTCATATAATATTACTGTAAGAACATAAATGAGAACAGAATCCTGAGATAATTTTATGCATATAATTGTTAAGTATTTTCCAAGATGTTTATAATATTTCAGTGCTTATCAGTGAATCTAACTTAGGGTACCTCTGTGTTCCTTTTTAATGCTGAAGAATATTTTGATAAAAAATTTCAAACTTCAATAATAGACCTTTGGAGGAAACGAGCTGTACTTAAAGGGATTGTTTTTAGTTGAAATACTAAATGCAGAGAAGAAGTTATGCTGTGTAAGCTGATTCTTCTACTGTGTGGAAGATGACTGAGCAGTATAGAACAATATAGAACTCTATACATGTATCCTATTACACTAGCTCCTCCCCAAAACTTTCCTGCTCCTTAACATTCACATTCACATTCTTCTTCTGGCAAGAGACACTCTGTAGGAGGTCAGTGACCTCCTTTCTCTCTCATTCCTTGATCCAAAAAGGGCCAAGACCCTCTCAAAGCCCCACCCTACTACTTCCTGTCTCACTATCTGTCCTCAATCCTCCAAATCTCTATGGTTAACTTTGATCAGCTCGAAGCTAGCTCTGCCCTCTGATTCAAAGAAAAATTTTATTGACAGGCTTAGGCACATCAGAATGCAATCAAAATAACACCCATTTCCTGCTTTTTGTCTAAATAAGAAGGAAAAGTTTTAGCACCCAGAAAAGTTATATAAAATAAGAACAATTATCAGGTAATAACTACATTCATAATGTCCAGTCCATTTGTATTAGGCAAATTTGGAGAAAATACTCCATCATCTTTCCTATCTTGGTAAATCCAAAGTTTTGTACCTAATTCACTTTGTATCCTAACTTGTTTTATAAACCTAAAACTTTTTTTTTTTTTTGCTTTGGACCTCAAAACATTTTCTCAGATAAACAACTTAAGCTCTTATGGCTTTCAACCTTATAAACATTACATCTCTTTTATAAGTGTTTTTTTTTAATTTGGTAACAAAAAATGGTATAACTATCTAATCTTCAATCCTCATCAGAGACCCAAGAAGGATAAATTATCACCTGAGTGAGCAGGAAGCGCAAAGCAAACAACTTCCAAAACTTTAGAAATGACAGAAACAGGTGGCTGCTTGGACAGTCACTCAAGGTTCCTCTGTAACACTGGGGGATCCATCTTTGGCCTACAAGTTTAGAATATCTGACAGACTTTTCTGTGAAGCAGACATTTTGAAAGACTGTTCCACCTTGTCTTGGCAAATTTTAGCAGTCGCTTTCTTTTGTGTCTTGTGTGTCTAATTTGTACAGCAGATTGCCAGCAGTTGAGGCAAGGGCAGTTTCTTGCCCAGTGGCTAACTCTTGCCACAATTAAAGGAAACTCCATATAGAGGTTCTTCAATACCCATCATCTTATTTGATGGGCAAGAGCAGATATGTTTCCTTGTCATGAAAAGCCTTAGGTTATTAAAACATCTTAAATGCCATATTCTGTAGATCTCTGAAATGTCTGAAGACCAACTGTCTGTCTAAAATATATATTTGATCTTGAAAATATATCTAACATGACTACAAGTTTGAATGTTATAGGTGACTAACTACTAACCTGTATTTCTTTATTATCTTAAATAGTTTCAAATAATAACCTCCCAGGACTAGAATTTTACATAACATTGTTAAATGAGCTGCATAGGTACAACACCCTAAATAAGAGTAGAAATGTATTAGTACAGTATGTTCTAACAAAAATAACCTTAAATTTGTATCAGTATACAAAAATCCCATAAGAGTAGAAGCATATATATAGTACAACAGAAATAACCTTAAATTTGTATCAATATACAAAAATCCATACCAATGTAAAATATTTAAGATTAGTAGTTGCTTTTTTAGTTTAAAGGTAGATTCAATAATCTACCCTTTTTATCCTATCATTTCTTTATCCCCCTTTTTCTTTCCAGAGCAATATTCCTGAATCTGATCTCCTTTGTTCAGCCTTTTTCCTGACCATTACCAATAACAACTTATAACCAGTTTCCCTAAATGACGACAAATATCCATAAACCCATTGAGTGATCAAAAACCATCCACCCTACCTTTTGGATTGGGGGCATCAAATTCTCTAGATTGGTTCCTACTGTCTGGGGAACAACAGAATTTCTATGGGACCCTGAGAAAATTGAGATAATGGTCAAGTCCTGGAAGAGCTATCTGAATCATTTGTTGCCAGTTTCTGTGTAACGGGATAGTATAGGACTCATCTGAAGTCTTGGCTGGAGTAATGTATGAGGCTGGGCCATCTCAGATAGCTGCCTTGAAATTGTGTTGAGCAGTTTGGAGTCTGAAACTGATCTTTGGGTGGTGTTTGTCAGCTTAGTGGAGTTACCACAATCCAGGTGGAATCATTGTTGTGGGTCCCCATCATCCTTTTGGAGATCACTGTTAGGAATGGTCATAGTTAACTGTAGAAAACTTAAACATTTTAAATGCTATATGCAGTAGATCTTGGAGAGGTCAAAGGACCACAATTTGTGAAGTACAAGCTTAATTTCTAGTTACCTGACTCAGACTCAAGCCTGAAATCATGTACAGGAAGCTAGATGAAGTGATTCTGATTATTAGTACTCTGTATGACCATATTATCACATTATAAAGTTTAAATATATATGTATATATATATTAATCTTATAAATTTTGAGATGATATTTGTACCTTAAGAAAAGTTTAAAGAGCCAAGATAAAACCAAAGGAGTATGAGATTAGTGGCAATATAATAGTCTCTTAATTTTCATTTTTCCTCTGTCCCAGACTAAGTGGCTCTTCTAACATGAGACAGAGATTTTGGGTTTTCCTTTAACAAGCATGCTTGGGTTTAGAGAAGGAAAGAGACATGCTCCAACTCTAAAGCCAGCTTATTTTTTAGTTGAACAGGGACTATAAAAAGACCATTTGCCTAATATATCTGTAGAAAACAGCAAAAAATAAACATTTGGGAAGATTTATGAAATTTTATCTTGTTGGAATATGCTATACCTTTAGGCTAATTTACTCTTTTCCTTGGGACAATTTCTCTGGATGATTTATCCTTTTTCTTCAGATGTCTCATTTGTCCAGTGGTCTTCAGTTCTTTAGTTGGATGCCTTCATTCTCCTTGAAAGACAATAACAAAACCGTGCCCCAACCCTAACTGGGAGGTTATATCTGATCAAATTAAAGGCATTTGTTAGTTGTATAAGTTAGTTTAGATTGAATGGTCAGGCTGTTTGATGAACTTTCACCTTTCTTTCTTTCTTTTTTTTTTTTTTTTGGTTTTTCGAGACAGGGTTGCTCTGTGTAGCTTTGTGCCTTTCCTGGAGCTCACTTGGTAGCCCAGGCTGGCCTCGAACTCACAGAGATCCGCCTGGCTCTGCCTCCCGAGTGCTGGGATTAAAGGCGTGCGCCACCAACGCCCGGCTGAACTTTCACCTTTCTAATCAAGATGTCTCTCCTGTTCAAATCTAATCTTTATCAATTTTAATGGTATCCATAGCTTTTTTTTTCTCCTGTGGAAACAAAATAAAAACCTCTTCTCCAGTGTATCACATATCCCGGTTTCCATCCTGAGGTCAACACATTTTTAAAATATATAGGCTGATTTAATTCAACAGTTTTTCTACTTTCTACTGTCTCTCTGCAACTGTCATTCCTTTCTCAATAGCATTTAAAAATTTTAAATCTGTGGAGGATTTTTCCCTAATGCTGACAGGGAATGATTGAACCAAATTTGATATGGGGGCCTACAAGCGGCCCCCTAAGGCTTTTCTTAATGGCAAAAAGTTACTTTGCCTCTCCTAT